GCCCCAACGAAGCCTGGAGCTGCTGTTGCCCCCTCCGAGCTCTGTGCCCCCCAGCTCAGCTGCTTCCTGGGGGATCTGAGCCCCCGCACCCTCCCCGACCGGGTCCCCAATAGCTTTTCCTTCCTAGAGGGCTTCATCTCTGGGATCTGCTCGGGGATGCCGCCGGGCATCTGATCCCTCTCGTCGGCATCTGCCACCTTCTGGGATACCTGCCTCCCACCCAGGGTCTGCCCCCTCCTCAAGGATCGGCCCCACTGGAATCTGGACCCTCCCCGGGGGTCTGCTGCTCCCAGGGATGGCTGCTGCACACCCCCAAAACCTCCTGTCCAGGGAAGCTGCTGCCAGACCATTCCCATCCCTCTCTCAGGAGTCTACTGCCCCCCACAAGCATCTGCTGCCCCCCAGGATGTGCTGCCCCAGAACCTGTTGTCACCCAAGGAGCTGCTCCCCACCCCAGGGCTACATGAAGGGTCCCGAGTTCCCCCAGGACATGGGTGCAGGTGCTTTCCTGCCATCCCTTGGGCCAGTGACCCCATGTCAGACATTTCCAGGGCCAAAAAGGGCCACAGTGTCCTGGCTCAGTCCTGGGCTCAGCAGGAGCCAGCAGGCATCAGGCAGGGATGGCCCTGGTGAGACACCAACATGCTTTCAGTCCAAGGATCTGCCTGGCGAACACAGGATCTCTGAACATCTCCTGTGGAGGGTACACTGATGATTTTTCAGCTTGGATACATTCCCAGGTCCATGCTGGCCCAAGGTCCCACCCAAGGACAGGGCCAGGAGGAGCCAGAGAGGTGTGAAGTGAAGGAGGAAACACAGCAGGACAAAATGCATCTGCCCCCAGAGAAGCAGATTAATGCTTTGAAGCCTTTTTTTTTCCCCAAAGGAAACAAGCTGATGTGATTAATTCCCTGAGTGTGTGCCTGCACCACATTCCCAGCACCTTTGAACCCAGTGCCCAGTTTCGCCCCATTAGTCCTCACCAGTGTCCCCGAGGGGGGTGGCAGGAGATGCCAGACTTGTTGCCTCAGCCTTGGAAAAGCTTCAATCAAAACTTCAGGTTTTCTTCTGTGCCAGATGAACCTTGGAGCAGAGCTGTAGGAAACCAGGTTTCCTTATCACAGCAGCTGTAAATAAAGCACCTTCTAGTTCTGCTCCCAGCCAGTTGCTACACAGGGCTGGTTCTCAATGCCAACCCCCTTCCCCCCCAAGAACATGGAGGGGCAGGATGAGGCCCTGCAGGGGCACCCAGCTCACCCCCACAGTGCCACTGGGTCCCATGGCTCCCACCAAAGTCAAACCAGTAGGAAAACAGGGCTTTATTGGGAAAAACAGCTTTGCATAAAGACCAGCTGCAGCATGGCAGCCCAGGATGTCTGCCACAGCAGGAGGGGACCAGGAGGGGTGGGGGGAGCAGGACCTGCCTGCACACGAGGCTGGGGGAGCACAGAGCTCCCTCCACATTGTTCTGCAGCACCTCCCCTTCCAGGGTCCCCCTCAAATCTTCCCCAGGCTTGGGAGGTTTGTCCAGGATGGAAGAAAGAGGAAAAACCTAATTCTTGCAGCTTCCCTGTCCCCCTCCTTCACCCACATCCACAGGGACGGGCACCTGCACGTGTGTCCCCATGCAGAGTGACCAGAGGCTTCATCCCCACCACAAGGGCACAGCCTTGTCCGGGTGCCCCTTCCCCTGCCCTGCCTTGACTCACCAGCCTGGTATTTGCAGGGATCAAATCAGCGTGGGTTCATTTGCCTGTCTGTCCTCAGCAGCTCCTGTTAAAACACTGCACCCCGCTCCCGCCTCTGCATCAGGGTCCCCCTCACCCCCTGCCAGGTTGGCTACAGCCCCAGCCTGCAGCTCGCCAGCCTGGCGAACAGCGCAGCCCTGTGGTGGCTGCGCA